TACAAATTGGGGCATACTGGAATATTTAATGTGGGATTTTTGATTTTTATTTTTTCTTAGACCAACTTCAGTTTTTGCAAGTGACGATGCATTGGTCTTACATAATTTTAAGAATAGCTAGCTCACTCAATATTACTCTGACCATGAATTGTACACCTCCAATTCCCACTGGTTACATTATACATATATAGGTCTATCGTTTACCGATAGTTATCGTTAACGCTATTGAATGGTATGGTTCCTTTTTTTCAGGATGAGGAACCAGAAACCAGCTGGATGTTAATTCAAGAGAATGATCTAATAGCATTATTCTCACAGTTCCCTTTTGATGCCATTTTCAAGCACCTTCTTAAAATGGATCCTAACATCCATAGTAAGCTTGATTCTGGACTGTTTAACCATGTTGCCAACCATTATTTTGAGTTCAATGTTATTTTGTTTAATTTTCATTTGGATAACTCTTCTGTTTTTGCTTTATGTAATGTAGATAATTCAAGTTCAACCACATAAAAATAAATACATGTAATATCAGAGTCTGGTACATACATGTAAATTTTGAAGTAGGCAGATGATAATTTAATAACAAGAAAATATAATATGGGGGGTCTTGCACATGTACGCCATCAACAGTGCTCTGTGTGAAGGTTGAGTGGGGAAGATTCACAAACTTCATCATTTTTTTTTATTTTTCAGATGATAGCTTGACTGAATCACATTACCATGTAGAACATACAACAAGCCGCGACATAATGAGAATGTTGGCATTTGCTTCTTGTATTGTGTATGTGATGGGAAGTGCTTTCCGCACCTATGCCAAAATACGTTACAGGGCATTTGTCAAGAGAGTGGGGCGAACTATCAGGTATTCATGAAAGCTTATTAATTTTATGCAGTATTGGATCATACATGTGTACGTGTACTATCTCAAGGCAGAATACATGTATTTAGTATAAATCTACTAGCGTTCTATCACGAATGCTGTTCTCTGATTGGCTACACTACCCACTATCTATTCTGTGATACAGTGTATGTAGTGAGTAGCGTAGCAGTGTGTCCTTGTTAACAAAATGAGGGCCGTTTCTTGATGTTTTCGAATTATCTGTGAAGAGGATTTAGATAGAGTTTTGAATGACTAGTAGATAAATTTATACTAAAACAATTAGATTATTTGCTCTCGATTTCTATGTGTGATAGTTGACTTGGGCTGCACCCTTGTCAACTATCACGCAATAGAAATTTCAAGCCCATAATCTAATTGCTTAATAGAATATATAAGTATTAGTTTTTAAAAATGGCCTGTGTACGTAATGTTACTGTCAGTTTTAAAGTACCTTTAAGTCGAAAGTAACATAACCTTCATACATAACTTTCTTAACTATTGGAATTTGCAAATTTGAACTCAAAATGTTTCCTTAGAGTTTGGTGATAGAACAATGGTTATCTTATTAGCTCGACTAAATGACATCCTTGTTGCATTTTGTGTACATTTCCACTCAAAATTTTATAGTTCTAGAGATCTAAATGTACTTACCTCATAGCGACCAGTGACAAAGATTTCTTTCTTTTCTCTCTTGTAAGCTGAGGTTTTATTTAAGCATTATTTAATAATTATAAAAATATGTTTCAGGCAAGTTGTTCAGTATGTGTTAGATCATTGGTCAGACTACAGAAGCTGGAGAGTTAATGTCTGTGGAGATTCCATCAGTGCTGTTCCAGATTTCTTTCCCTCTGTTAATCAATACTCATTACAAAGGCTTCAAGTTGAGGTAGATCAGTTCTTTCTCCGAGCAGCTCAACAGATCATATCAGCACACAGGTAGATGTTCTTCAGTCTACTTTTAACAGATCTCTTCACGCCATGTGGCACCTAAGTTAAATTTTGCCGATCTCAAATATTTTTATAAAAGAATTCTATACTAGTGACAAGTAAGTAAAGAGTTGGCCATCCCTTCTGCCCCCTTCAAGCCCCTAATCAGTGATTTGTTGTATGTAGTTCCATTGTGACATAAGGAATACACCCAAATATGTGACACTAAAAGTGCATACAGTTATCACTCATCCTTTGTTTCCGTGGCATTAGCCTCTTGGTTGGTGCAGATATTTATGTAGCACCCTTAACTTCTTCAGTCCCTTCCATTATTGATTTAGATGAAACCCCTATAACTTCAAACTTTAGACTTTTGAGAAGTTTTTTTTTTTTTTTAAATTGTTTCTCCTTTTGTATGCCTGATTGGGGACAAGTAGATATTAGCCAAGAAATGCATGACTGTAGTATACAGTGTACATCCTGTATGACTGTGATTTGCACTAATCTTAGTAAAGATGTACTATCAGCTCCAAATATACGCTTATCAAGTGCCATGGATGATAGTTCAATTATAATTTTTTTTAAGTTGTTCATGCTGTCTTTATATAGACTTGGTGCTTGGCAGTTCTTAGCTGACATGCCCTTTGGTAGTGTTTCAACTGAAACCCTGTGGAAGCTGTTCTGGGCACTTCATGGGGATGTCACCAAACTTGATTCTGTTGAAAGTCTTCAAAGAGAGGATTCCATCTGGGACAACTGGAGAGAAGCACTGCAGAGTATGTACACACAAGCCACAGCTGCCCCCTTTTGGAATTTATCTCGTTTTTAGAGTGACCATAAATTAAGTAACTCCTCAAACAATAGCAATAACGTTTTGTTCCCCTTTACCTTACACCCTGTAGGTCGTCAAGAGGAATTTACTGACCAACTTGCAAGAATGTCGCAGTCTGAGGCTATCTTCTTGCTGACTACTTTTGCCAACATAGCTACTTCAAGAGATGGCAAAGAATGGGACTTAATTGAAGCAATCACAACTGAAGTTTACAAGGTTTGGAAAAATCATTTCATTATTGGTGCTGTTAGTAGTACTTTATGGAACTGTGATGCAGGGGTTATTTTAATAGAAGTGGTCTCATGTACATTTTACATAGATGTACATTGACTCAAACATGCTTGCCCTTATGGTATTGAAGTTCTTTTTTGCAGCACTCTCTTATAATTGACCAGCTTCTGTCAACCACCACACTTAGGAAACCTTTGTTTACATTCAATAGAAACTTTGGGGTTAAACTCTTCTCATCCTCAGAGACCCAGGAAAGCTAGTTGGGATGACCAGATATTTACAGGCAAGTGATATTTTTTGCCAGGCAGAAGTTTGATGTAAACTTTTGCCTGAAAATACCAGTTGCCCATAGATATCACATCGTCACGAATTAAGCTGCCCCTGGGTCTCCAAGGATGAAGCCTCCTGTGAGTGATTTCTCCCATATGGCACTGACCACCTGTAGCAAACTTGACTTTTTCTTTCAAGTATAATAGGTTTTATGCTTTTGTAAGTGACCATTTCTAAGAGACTGATTGCTATAATTCAAGAAAGTGAGACAGCATTTTAGAAATATGCACTACTCTCCCGCAAATTTCACACAGTGATATATGTAAGTATCTGTGTCTGTCTCATTATGGTGTAATAGAACTGTGTACACTGTTGTTTCAGAACACTATTTGTATTGTCTTTGGTATTGAAAGCTTTCATGAGTGACCAACTTCTGCCTTTTCAGCAGGCAGTTACTAAATGAGATTTCATTCTTATAAGCAACCAACTCCAGTTACATTCACTTTTTCCAAGCCCCTGACAGAGGTGGTTCTTTTTAGAGTTTCAGCTGTCTTCTGGAATCAGTCTGAGTGAATTTTATTTCATTTCAGGTTTCCTTCATTGCCAGTCAAACAAGGGAGTCAACCTCCAAGACTGGTAGATATCTTCTGGGAACCATCTCTAACAGTCATCCTTTTGTGATATCGGTTTTGCTTGAGAATGTCAATGCAACTCTTGATACTATAGGGAAGGTAAACATTTAGCGTTTTTGTGGTGCATTACCTGCAGGCAAACGTACTGTAAATAAATCCACAATCTGGAAGCAGACAGGGTTAAATGTTGTAAAACGGAAGTTGTTTCTAAGGATTATAAAAAGGATTTCTAGTATTGGACATACATGTACATATAGGTTACAAACATTCTATAATTAATACATTATTCAAAAAGCAGTAAGTTAAATCTGGCCTTGAACCAAGGACTGATGTCACCTTGGCAGTTTGTCAAATATCTTTTTTTTTTGCTGGGAGAAAAGTTCTTACAAACAGACATGTGCCAGTAATTTCAAACAGATCTTTGATTAAATGCCTCACTCCAAGACAGATTAGCTGATACTTACTGTACACGTAGAGAAGATCCTTTACCACAGTCCTTTAGTCTGGGTCTTAACTGCTTGCTTTTCCCATAATTGTGTCTACATGATGTTAACTCTGCCCTTTGTCGATGCATGAACAGCCTCTCTTCATGTACATTCCCTTGCTTAAAGATTGGACATATTGCAGATGGTGAAATGGTGAATTGTTGTAGAATGTAAATGTGCATATGGTTTATTTTTTAATATTCTTTGTCAGGCTTGTGTTTACCTGTTCAGTGGCTTATCAATTCATCTATGGCATCCGACATACAAAAACATGGACTTCATGATTTCCTGGCTGTTGAAGGCTGACTTGTCCTCTCCAGAACACCAGCTAGCTCGCTACATTATTTCCAACTTAAACTGGGGACATGTGGGAGAGGTATAGAAATCCATTAATTATTATCATGAAGTTCATGAATAAATGCTGTATTTGAACTTTGTTATTTGTACTGTAAGTCTTACTGTATGTATTTATTTAAATTAAGGTGCATGTTTTGTCACTCTACAGTTGTAGTAGATATTTTTCCTACCGACTGGCCCTCCCATCATGGTTGGGTGTGTTGGCATGTTGGACTGACAATTTTGCACCTATCTTGTGTGCTTCTGCAAGACCTGACTAAATTTTCTATACTGTTTGTCTCTTCTTACAGTGTAGGGGCATAAATACATGTACATGTATGACAGGTGTAAGCAAATTGCCACTGGGGAAACTTGAAAAAAAATATTTGGTTGGGTTACCTGTGATGGGCTAACTCCTACCCCAGGCATCGATAATTCTGTTCAAAGTGGTGCTTGTAAAACAGCTCAAAATGACTTTTGATAAATTGCTAGATTCTCCATCCAAATTGCCTTGTATTTCCTTGTGAAACACAAGGAGAATTTGATGCTATGTTGACAGTCACTTTGGGCATAATTCTGTACACCCCTGGGGAGAGAAAAGATGTAAATTTTCTTATCAGTCCATGCAATATTATACACTAGAAAAAAGTGTCAACGGCAGTCTCCCAGTTGGCCATTAATTAAGTAATTCTGACTACACTCACAACAGACAGTAAATGTGAAAAGTTTATTGAGGATTCGTCAGTCACCTATCAGATTTAATGTACCGTAATGTTTACCTCACAAATTTAACAAGTGGTTCTAAGAATTAGAACCTGTGCTACGCCAGATACGAAAAACAACTAAAAAACCACCCTTATATGTGGCCCAAAAATATGTGGAAACGTATTTCTCATCTAATGCAGCAGCACAAGACCCCGAGGAAAGGGTTTTCTACAATTGTGTACTTAAAAATCGAAACATAATCCTAAGACATAAAGTGGGCAAACAACGACTGACCGACCTAGAATGACTTAAATCTCCCGCCAAAACCAAGCATCCCGTGATGCACCGCGAGTCTCTCCAACATGCCGTCAGAATAATAATTTCCGACTAATTCGTCCCTCAATCGTCAGAAATTACCATTTCTTTTCCTCGTCAGCCTGGAGAGAGTGATAAGCTGTTCCTTCATCAGTGTTGGCACAGAGCATTAGCAGTCTCACTTGTTGAAGTATCAGCATTACGTTTACCAAACATGCCTGGAGGAATAGCACATGAAGCTTTTAAGGAAGACACTGGACTCCTTAGACAGGTGTGAATGCTACAGTGTGTCTTAAGAAAGTCATGGGCATCTTCTAAGGTTGCGGGAGACTTATATTTTACAAATCGAAATTAATGTAAATTTTACTGGGTATGAGATTTCAAAATCATAATATTTGGTATGTAGCCAGATCTATTATCAAACCAAGGTTAGATGGGTCTCTGCTCCTTGGTTAATGTAGTGCAATGTTATTACAGAAAGCTTACTAAACTGTCATTAATTTACAAAAATTTTGGTGTGCACTTGTCACCTAAGTTATGATTTCAAACTTAAACACAAACTATAAATGCACATCTGTCACAGGAATGTAATTTTAATAAATATATGTTTTGTCAGTCTTGTGATAACACCAATGACGGTCGACAGGATGAATTTATAAATTGGAAAGTAATCTTGTTTCAGGTAGCATTGATAGCGACGTCGTCTTACAATCGTATGATGCAGCCAAATTACGAGCAGCAGTTGTATGAGTGGGTGTGGGAGATGATGTTAACTCTCAGGCTTCACCTAGCTGATCTGCCAATGCCAGTCATGCAGTTCACACGGCAACTCCCAAATGAAGAGGAGTTAGAAGGTATGTGCAGTACGCCATGTGCTTGAAGGTTTGAAATGATAAACATGCAAGTTTTAATAGTGACTTAAAATCTACTTTTATTAATCTGATCTTTCTCTCCATAGCAAGTGGAGAAACACGCCCTGGTTTTGCCAGCTTAGTGAAGTCTCTGTCAAAGGAAACACTGGAACTCGCTAACGAGAATTCCCTTGCAAGCACGACCCATGCTATTAAGGCAGGTGGACAACTTGCATGTTATGCTGCCATAGCAATGACCACTATCGGTACAAGGTTAGTATATATATAGATCTCTTGTTTACTTTTCCTTCCTTTTCAATGAGGCATGTGCTGATATACGCATTTGCTGTCAGTAGAAAAACAGAGACATGTAAAGTTAGCATGAGCTTTTAATACCTTCACTACTACTGCCGATTACCAATTGCCCCATAACCTTAAGACTCTCAACTGGTGTAATCTTCGCTTGAGAGAGTTCACGTGTAGTCCTTGTACCAGTTGTGATGTCATCACCTTTCATACCAGAGGATGTTTTTGATAATCAGCAAGTAAACTAGAGCATACCTGAAAAGTGTGATAGGATGAATGACAGTAAACCTATGAATTTCTTTTCTCAAAATCAAACATTACATAAAAAACATTGATCGTCCCTATCATGGCCACTTTCCTTGATGTTTCATTGGAGACTNGCTATTAAGGCAGGTGGACAACTTGCATGTTATGCTGCCATAGCAATGACCACTATCGGTACAAGGTTAGCATATAGATCTCTTGTCTACTTTTCCTTCCTTTTCAATAAGGCACGTGCTGATATACGCATTTGCTGTCAGTAGAAAAACAGAGACGTGTAAAGTTAGCATAAGCTTTTAATGCCTTCGCCAGTACTGCCGATTACCAATTGCCCCATAACCTTTAGACTCTCAACCGGTGTAATCTTCGCTTGAGAGAGTTCACATGTAGTCCTTGTACCAGTTGTGATGCCGTCACCTTTCATACCAGAGGATGTCTTTGATAATCAGCAAGTCAACTAAAACATACCTGAAAAGTGTGATAGGATGAATTGGCTCAGAGATACACAGAGTAAACCTATGAATTTCTTTTCTCAAAATCAAACATTATAAAGAAACATTGATCGTCCCTATCGTGGCCACTTTCCTTGATGTTTCAGTGGAGACTTAACGAAACTGAACAAAGGCAGCTGAAAGGCCAACAAAACTGCAAAAGAAAGAGAGAGAAAAATAAACAAATAAACGAGAAAAAAAATGAAAACCCTTAATATAGCTTTTACTAACCCCAAAATGAGTTTTCTTTTTGCTTTTGTCCAAAGAAACCCCGGAAAGATCAGTGGCGGATCCAGACCTTGAGCTAAGGGGGAG